AAAAAAAAAAAAAAAGAAAAAAAGGACGGAAAAAAATCTCCTGGATTTTCCTGTCGAGGCGACGCAGCCTTCCGCTTGCCCAACCGTGCACTTCCCGCACAGGCCCCTGGGACAAAGCAGCTCCGCCGTGCCTCTGCCGCCCGGCTATTTCGCCGCTACGAGTCGGGTTCCGCGCTACCACCGGCTGCCACTGTTTGCCACACTGCCGGCTTGTGTGCTCAACCGCCTCACGTTCCAGAAGCGGGCGATGCACCCCAGCCGATCCGCTACCGATTTTGCTTGGCGGCCGGCTTCCCGGGCCACGCTTCTAAGGCTCAGCCCCGCCACCACCTGACTGCATCTCCCCCATCATCTATCCCGGACCCAGTCCCATAGGCTGGAACCATCCGCGCTCCCGGCAGCGCTACCTAGAATCTGCATGGCGGCTAACCCAATCACATACGCACGCCTTTGATGCAGGTCGGCTCGTGAGTCGATCTGCCTACCGAGCGTAGAGCTTCCTCTAGGCATCCCTTCTGTCCTGGGCAGTCGCTCCGCCTAGGGACCGCACCTCCTAAGCGGCTGATACGGCAATCCATCCGTGCTTCCGCCTCGTCTAGCGCTCGCGGCTCAGAGTCTTCTCGCCTAGCCTTGCACGCTGTCCATCTCTCGGTGGACGCAGAGTAGCGGGCCGGCTTTCGCCCGTCAACTGCTCCCGGACGCAAGTTCCTCAAAAAGCAATGGCGTGTGGACCCGAATTGTCCCAAGATACACGAGAGGGACTCATCCGATTCGCATTCCGCACGCTTCAGCTACATCGCCTTGAACAGCATTCCTCGCAATCATCGCCGCAGTGATGGCAAGACGACCGTCCGTAAAAGACCACCTTGTGGCTCGTGATCCACAAGCAAGAGCGGTTCCACATCGTTGGCAGTCTGCTGTCCCGCCAATCGATCCCACTTCCGCTCACGCCGGCCCCTCGCGCCAGACCTTCGACTATCACGATCGACCCGACCCTGGCTGGAACGCAGATGAATTCCGGAATCCACGCCCACCGATCCCACCGTACGGCTGGACGGCTGACGAACGCGACGATCAGAACGCGCGCGATGGTCTTCTCTCCGGCACAGCCGTAGGCGTCGAATCTAATGCACCCACGGCCGTCTCGGTCCGACCGGGGTATGAACCGGCACCTCCTCTGCACCCCTCCTCAGCACATGAAGTGCACGCTCGTCGCGTTTCCGCCGAGGAGTGGCAGTATCGCCAACCTACCATACCGCCGACTGGCTCCCTGCCTTCCGCGATGTCAGGCGCCGTGCGTCCCGACCCAACTGCACTTGTCGCCCCGACCACTTCGCCCTGGCCGGCCCCGCATACGCCTTCCACCACCGAAGCGGATCCACCGCGCGCAAGAGTGGCCTGCAGCTTCTGCCGCCTTCGCAAGCTGCGCTGTGACGGCGCGACACCGTGCCGGCACTGCGAACGGCGCAGCATCGATTGCGTCTACGCATCTGCCAAGGGAAAGACAAAGACATCTTCCGAGTCCTCCACGAGCCCTCAAAAGGGCGATGGTATCGCTGCTGCCGCTTCATCAGGCGGTCCAAAGGCCGAGCGAACGGAGACATCTCAAGGAACTAGTGGTGGGCGCGAGCGTGGAACCAAGCGAGCGGTGCATCCAACCCAGCTCGATGGCACGGATCAAGACGCCTCAACTCACCCAGATGCATACCGGCGATCCACAAAGAGAAGCAGGCCTCCGAGGCAAACGCCATCGGTGCTGTCGCCCGTCACCTCGAATTCGAACTCGGGCTCCGACACGCCGAGTCAGTCCAGTCCCAGCAGCAGCATGCCTGGCTCGGATCTTGCCATGATTCAGAACAACGATCCACGCATACCGATGGACCCGCATCTCAGTGGCCAGGACGNCCAGTCCCAGCAGCAGCATGCCTGGCTCGGATCTTGCCATGATTCAGAACAACGATCCACGCATACCGATGGACCCGCATCTCAGTGGCCAGGACGGCTGGTACGATGCCTTGCTCGGCATGCTGGGCAAGTCGCGATCCCATTCGATCAAGCTGGTCCAGCATCTGCTGACGCGCTTTGTCCAGTCCAACGCCGTCTTTTTCGGTCTCTTGCACGCGCCCACGCTTCTTGGCGTCATCATGGGAGGTCAAGCCCACGTGCGCGCCGATCCGGCGCTCTACCTCGCCGTGCTCGCGGTCTCTGCCTGCGATATGCACCAGGACCGGATCGCCGACGAACGCACGTCGGACATGCGCGCAGCCAGCGAGGCCTCACGCGAGCTCGCCCAGCGCCTCTCGGAGATGGCGGCCACCTATCTGCAGATGTCGACGGCACGCGGAGCGCTGCTGACGGCGTCGACGGGTCAGGCTGCGAGCATCCTTGCGCTGACGCAGCCGGACGGGAGCACGGAGCAAGCGACGCTGGTGCGCATGGCGGAAAACGTCGTGCGCACACTCAAGCTGCACGAGACCGTGTCGCAGCGCGAGCCGCTGCTGCAGGACAGCGAGCCGGACTCGCCGCTGTACTGGTCGCGGCCGCTGGCGTCCGAGTCGCCCGAGTCCGAGGTCAAGTACGAATCGATCGTGCGGCTCTGCTGGACGGGCATCAGCCACCGCTTCCGCAAGTACATCGCCAAGCCGGACGAGGGGTTCGGCGACACGGAGCTGCCAGAGTTCATCCACAAGATCCGGCCCATGGCGTTTTGGCAGCCGAGCTTGCTGCCCAAGGACCTGCCGCCGCCGTTCTTCCACTCGCAGGACCTCATGCGTCGCTCGGCGCATCTGTCGCGCCTGGCCGTGTCGCTGGCGGGGCTCGAGCGGCTGAGGGAGATCGGCGAGGCGGGCACGCCCACCGACGAGACGCTGGACAAGGTGAGGGAGATCCTGCGCTCGCTCGATGGACTCGAGAGTGCCTTTGTACGCCACCGCCCGCGCTCGGATGTGGAGCGGCAGAACGTGCTGGGTCGGACGCTGCAGATGTTCTGCCGCATGCACGTGTGGGTGCGGCTCACCATCTGGCGCCAGTACCGACTGTGGAGTCCACCCGCGGATCGCGCCGCGGTGAGCAGCGAGTCGGACTCGTCGGCGGCGTTGGGAAGCGAGTCGACGCTGCTGCCGCAGCTCTTCCAGCAGCAGCATCCGACCATCGAGTTCTGGCTCGGCATTGTGCAGGAGATGATCGACACCATGCAGCGCGACCTGGATGCGCATGTGCGCGACCAGACGTCGCTGGCAACGACCATCTCGGACGTGGATGCGCTCGCAAGGCACGTCGTGTGCGCGTGCGAGCTCGTCGAGGCCTCGCGCATGCTCCAGCCGGGACTCGCCCAGGTGGATGCGGCGCTCACCATCCTCAAGCGCGTCCTTGCCGTCGCCGAGATCAACGCCGCCGCGGGCGTCGTCGGCGCGCTCCAGCTCGATGACGACGTCACCGCCAAGGTCAAGACTGCCGAGACACGTCGCACGGCTCTCGACAGCGTCGTGCTCCAAGCTGCGCCCGTCTACGGCCAGTTGGCTTGATTTGCGGTTGCAGAGTTATTTATTTGCCTTCTTCTCCGACTTCTCAGCATGATCGCCGGCAATGGGAATAAGCATCACACGAGCCGACGAAAAGAGCAGCGCTGGACAGCCTTGCATTGATTGCGGGCGTCTGAAAGAAAGCGAGTCCTATGGTACAGGTAACAGCGGCTAGATGATGGCCGAAACGGTCGGAGAATCGGGAATGCGAGAGGAAAAGTCCATAGGGGTCACGGTACAGCAGTCGAGAGCATGAAAAAGAATGTGATGGGGCTCTAGCCGTTGATGAGGCGGATGGTGAGGTAGAGGGTGGAGCCGATGAATCGGATGCAGGCCATGCCTGCGACAAAGACGAGGACGAGGACCATGTAGACCTTGGTGCGGGTGACGCCGCCGCCGGAGAAGGTGCCGGTGGTGTCGCCGTTGAGGATGAATGCGGCGACGACGCCGTTGCTGAGGGCCCAGGCGAGGACGACGTTGGTGCGGATGTTCTTGTAGTAGTCCATCTGCCTGGCGGCTTTTTCCTCGTTGCTGGCGTCGCCACGGATGATCATTGGGCGGGTCCTGAGGTTGTTGAGTGCATCATCGTAGGCGGTATCGATATCGGCCTGTGCCGTAGGCAGGGTGATCTCGACAGTGCCTTTGCCAGTGGATACGACGGCGCCAAGGTCCTTGGAGACGGTGGTGTCGCCTTTGGTGCCCCAGCTAAAGTCGTGCAGGTTGCAGAATGCGTAGATGTTGAGGATGTTGATGTACGTCGGCGCGAGCAGCAGGTACTGGACAAAGCTCGTGACGAGATGCAGCGGGTCGCACGCCAACAGCGAGCTGATCAGATACACACCGTACGTGGCCAGCAACGACACGACCATCTGCGCGTAGATGGCGTCGTGCTCGACACGCGCCACCACCTTGGACAGACACAGCACCGCGGCCACCATCATGTAGACGGTCAGCAGCGCAAAGATGACCACTGCCGCCCAGTACTTCCACCTACTGCCCTGCGGACGGTTGCCCATGGCAAAGATGAAGGAAGCCACGACGGTGCCGAGGTAGATGTACTGCATGAACACGTTGAATACGCCGATGCCGCGCAGCTTGAAGGTCGGGTCTTCGAGCGAGGTGGTGAGGATGCGGAAGAAGATGTAGTAGTTGGCGAGGCCGAACCAGGCAAAGCACATGTTGATGAACGAGTAGAAGCTCTCGAAGACGAGCAGCGACTTGCGCCACACGTTGTGGCCCGAGCGCACAAACTGCGCCGTGTGGTAGAGCGCATAGACGGCGGCGAAGAAGGAGCCGTTGAGCCACCTCCTCCTCTGCGAGATGAATTCAGGCAGGCCCTCGGGTACGTCGGTGACGCCGCGTGCCGACTTGACGTACTTGAGCACCCATCCATGACCCCTCTTGGCCGCCAGCTCGAAGCACAGAATACGGTCCTCGGCGAGGTACATGTTGGAGGTAAACACGTCCGCGTCGGCACCGAGCAGATTCTCACCCTTGAAGTACGACGCGAGCGGGCCGTGGCCAAACTCGTCGTTCTGGAGCGCAATGTAGCGGTAGGCGGAAAAGGCACCGGGGAGCACCGAGATGTAGCCCATGACACTCTCGGTGGTCTTGTCGAGGATGTTGGAGATCTTGTACTCGAAGTTCTGTGCGGCGACGAGCGGGTTGAGCAGCAGCGGGCCCACGCCCCACTTGCCCTTTGTTTCGGCGCAGATCTCACCACACGCGCCGGCGACGTTGCTGTTGAGGTCGAACGACTTCCACAGGTAGTAGATCGACTTGTTCTCGGGCCGCGTGCCGACGTCGAGCAGGATCGTCACGTTGGGCTGCAGGATCGGACAAAAGGCGTTGAAGAACCAGCGGTGCGAGTTGATCTTCTT